CCCCCCCCCCTTTTCCCCCATGCACAATTTGGGGTTCCACACCGCAATGTGGGATCCTGAACCCCCTGCAACGACTGGACCCCCACCCACCATCCCCCATAAATGCGCCCCTACCCAAACTTGACGGGAGTGACATCGGGAGTCACAGCACCCGGCGGGGGCTGCCCGGGGGAGGGGCCGCTCAGCTCCGTCCCCCTCCGCGTTCCTCCGCTCTCCGTCTCGGAGCGCGTCTCCCAATACGCCGCCCGTCGCGCTTCGGGGGGGCTGCGGGTGCTGGCAGCCGGGGGGGGCAGAGCTGTGCCCTCCAGAGCCCCCGCGCTGCAGGAGGATGAGGACGAGGAAGAGGAGAGGCTGCGCGGCGCGGGGGTCTCCGTCAAACCAGCAAAGTGCGGCTCTGACGTCTGCCGGGGGAGCTCGGGGCGCTCTGGGGTGGGGGGACACAACGGGGACATGATGGGGACATGATGGGGGCAGCGAGGCTGGCGGCACGGCACTCACGGGTTCCCCCCCCCCGGTTCAGACTCACCCGTGGGGCTGTGCTTAGAGCGGGGGCCGCCCCGGGTGGGGTTTTTAAGGGGCAGGGGAGGGGGCAGCTCCTCGCTGTGCGCCCGGCGCGGTGCGGGACGCGAAGCCACCAGGATGCTCTCGTAGGTCTGGTTGGTGATGTCCATCCCTGCGCAGCTCCAGCGTGGGGGGGGGGGGGGGGGGGGGGGGGGGGCGGGCAGCCAGTGGTGAGGGGCCCTTGAATGAACGCTGCAGGGGGCTCACCTATGGCCAGACCCAGAGATGCTGGTGGGCTTCTTGCATCACTACACTCCAATTCTGCACCTCTATAGCCTCCCCCAAATCCATCTGCACCACTGCACCCCAATTCTGCACTCCTACAGCCCCAAAAATCCACCTGCACCACTGCACCCCAATTCTTCCCCCATACAGCCCCCAGCCAACCCACCTGCTCTATTTCACCCCCATTCCGTACCCCTACACCCTCCTGCTCCATCTGTACCATTGCACCCCTACAGCCTCCCCCATCCTACCTGTACTGTTTCATCCCCATTCTCTACCCCCACGCCCTCCTGCTCCTCCCTACCCCACCCACACCCCTTCCTGCCCCCCATTCCATCCCACTGCTGTGCCCACAGCGTCTCCCCTCCCTGCCCCCCATCACTGCCACCTTCTCCTCCAGCTCATCCTCGCTGTCATAGGTGTATTCCTGGGGTGGTTCCCAGTCGTAATCCACGTGGACCTGCAGGGAGAGCTTCCCCGCCTGCGCCTGCTCCAGCTGCACCACAGCAGGGTCTCAGCAGAGGGTGGGAGGTGTGTGGGGGGGTCCAGGGGGGCCCCCCCCCGGGCACCCAGCCCCACCCCCGTCCCCCCCCTACCAGCTCCTCGCACTCGCTGTGCTTCAGCCTCCGTGCCACATCCAGCGCCGTCTCACCCGCTGCGTTCACTACGGAAAGGGGATGGGGGCTGCAGCTTGGAGAGCACCCCGCTGCCCCCGACCCCTCAACCCCCACATCCCAGCCCCATACCCATCCCAAAGGCAGCTTTGCCCTTCAGCAGCAGCTTGATGCAGTTGGGTTGGTTGTAGAGCGCTCCGTAATGCAGCGCCGTGTTCCCATCCTGCGTCACCCGGTCCAGCATCCCCCTGCACAGAGCCAGGAGCAGCTCAGCACCTCGTGGGGATGCTCCAGTGCCATCCAGGGTGGCAGGGGGACACGGCGGGACGCACCCGTTCTGGATGATGAAATCCACCAGCGGAAGGGACGATCGGTCCGCGCAGCGCACGGCCACGTGCAGCGCCAGCTCACCTGCGTCCTGCCGCGAGGAGCGAGGGGATGGCTGACCCCAAGGATGCTCACAGCCCGCAGGTTGGGCAGAACCCCAAACCCGAGGATGCTCGCAGCCCGCAGAACCCTCAGAGATGGGGTTTGGGGGACCGTTTGGGATGCACACAGCTCACCTGGCCCTCAGGGCTGGCCAAGGGCTTGGCCAGGTCGTGTCCTTCAGCAAAGGCCTGCAGCAGGGCCAGGAGATCACGGTTGTGGATGGCATCCCGGAGGCGGTGGGGCTCGCTGGCCCCCCCCCGCTGCACGAAGCGCCTCTCCATGTATTTGGCCACGATGAACTCCTTGCGTGCGCTCCTGCAGGGAGGTCAGTGTCAGCGTGGGAACCCCACACCTTCCTGCCTCCTCCCATGGTGTCACAGCGGGGAGAGACCTCTGCAAAAGGCGCAGGATCCAAAGAGCAGTGGGGACGGCGAGGTGACCCATCTTGTGAGCTTTCTCATAGGGATTTGGCGGGGGGGGAGGGGGGCAAGGAGGGAAGCTTCCCATCCACCCACCCTGCGCCCCCCCAGACTCACATATCGCTGCCAGCTGAGGGCTTGGGGCAGTCCTGTGTGGGCAGCGTGGCCTCCATGATTTCATTAAAGCGTGTGTTCCCAACGCTGACAGCCAGCTGGGGTGATAGGGCAGAGGGAGTGAGCACAAAGCATGGAGGGGACCTCCCCACAGCCCCACATCCTGCCCCCCTGCCATGCCCCTTCCTCATCCCAGAGAGGGGAGTTCACCAGATCCACGTAGGATCTTCCCATCCACCACCCCCAGGGATGAGTCTCTCTCATAGGAGAGGTCTCTTAGAGGAGGGAAGGGGTGCTGGGAGGGCCTGCCAACATCCCCTCATCACTTCCCAGGGCTCCTGCATCCCTGCAGCACCACATGGGGGACTGTAAGTCACAGCTGGGCAAAATGAGGGCAGCTGCGAGCAGCAGGCGCAGAGCAGAGGGAGGGGGAAGGTCGAAATCTGCACCCAGACCCCAAGCAGAGGATGATACCCAGCGGATACAAGGCCCCCCCAGGTGCAGGGAGCCCCTTACCAGCAGCTCAGAGGTGCTGAGGACATCCAGGGTGAGGGACTGGATACGGGAGTAGTGCACACCCAGCTCCCGGTGGATGCCGGAGCACTCAATGCACGTCAGGATGCCCAGGTTGGTGGAGAGCCACGTGGGGTCTGTGGGGTGGAGGGGGGGCATCAGCATCACCTCCCGACCCCCCACCTCTCCCTGCATCCCAAAGCCCCAACCTACCCGGCGCCCCGCAGTCACAGCACTGCTTGTTGCCTGGCATGTTCTTCACCTCGCTGATGACCAGCTTGGTCAGCTCCTGCACGCTGCCATCTGCCCCACTGCCTGCTGAGGCCGCCCCGCCGTTCGGTTCACCCTTGAAAGCATTGCTCAGGGCTTCATCTTTGCTGTTCTGCAGCACCGAGACCCACCTGAGCAGGGGGAGCAGAGCAGGGATGCAGGAGGGCACTGCTCGGAGCGAAGGCTGCAGCCCTGCAATGCTTCTGCATGCTCGCAGTACTTACACCACGCACTCCTGCTCATCCTCTGCTTGGAAGTGATACGTCCTGTTGTCTGTAGGGGCGGGGAAAGAGGGGAGCGAGGCATTTAGGAAAGGACAAAATCGCAAGAAGGGACTGCAGAGGGCTGCTTTAGAAAAACCACAGCACGTCCCTTTCCCATCACCGCCACCCAACTTCTCTTTGTCTCCAGTTCACAACCGTTCACGCGCCCTTGTGTCCCAGGACAGCCTGGCCCGGGTCTGCTGCAGGGACCCACAAGTGGACACACACACAGGGACGGAGTGGTGGCACTCACGTGTCACCAGGTCGAAGCACTTCTTCTCCTCGGCGTGGGGCCGCACCTGGCAGGTGAGCAGGTTCAGCTTTACAGGGGGACGGTTTATCTGCCAGGCACCAGGACAGAAGCGGGTTAAAGGATGAGGGACGTGATGTGTGTCACCACACAACCATCCCCATCTCTTGGTACAAGCAGAGGCTCGGTCCCTGTCCCTTTGTAGGACGGGCGATGGGAACGCGGCGATGGATGGGGCACGGAATCCTCCGTCCCTGCTGCAGTTCGCAGCCTCCACCGCCAGAGGGCAGCACGCTCCCAAAATCATCCCAGATCCTTTGGGCCCCTCTGGACCCTCAACGCCCCCCTCGCTGCTCCCATGGAGAAAACCATTCCCTCCCTCCAACCTGCACCGATGCGCAGCACAGGCTGGTGGCTCGAATGGCTGCTGGGACACACGGGGTGCAAACGGGACACTTGGACTGAATGGAGAAAAGCCTCCACGTGACGCGGAGTCACGTTCCCAAAGGGCAGCGAGCGCTGCGTGGCTTTTGGCATCCTCCAGCCCCACGCTGCCCCTGTCCCCTCCCATGTCCTCAACCCCCTGGCAGAGGAATGGTGACCTCTTTCTTCCAGCCCCCTCCCCTTTCCCCCCATGCACAATTTGGGGTTCCACACTGCAATGTGGGATCCTGAACCCCATGCAATGACTGGACCCCCACCCAACATCCTCCAGCCCCACGCTGCACAACTCCCACCAGTTCTCAGCAGGAGATGGTGCAAACCAGGCTCTCTTGGGATGCACAGCGTACCACCATGCACCAGATTTCCCCCTGTGGTTTACATGGGGTTGGATGCTCACTGTGCTGTGGGAGATGGTCAGACAGCCGTACTTCACACCGCATTTCCTCTTCTGCCACACTTTGCGGATCCTGAGGCAGAGGAGGAGGAGTGAGGACTCATCACGCAAACCCAACCACATCCACCTGCCCCCACACCACCTGCAGCAGCACCCAGTAGAGGTTTGATGGCTTTCTGGACCTGGGGTTGCACCTTTTGTACCTTACAAAGCACACAGCTTCAGACCAGACAGGACCAACTGCTCCTGAGGGCCTGGTAACACTGAAACCCTCATCCAAATGAGTCCACTTTGGGGTCTCCCAGCTCTGGGGCCTCTCATGAGAGCAGCCAGGGAAAATAACACTCATCCTCACCCATCACTCTTCTTGTACAGGAACCCTGACTTCTCTGTCCCATACTGCTTGTTCCCTTGGTGCTGGTGGATGCTGTAGCCACTGCCAGAGTTCTTCCTGCTCAGGTTTTCCTGAGCTCATCAGGAAAAAAAAAAAAAAGAAAAAAAAGTAAAAAGACTCATTTAAAAAGCACTGTGAGAGAGGTAGAGGTGGCCAAAGTCCTGGGGGATCTCATTCTGGAGGGCAAAGCTCCCCATCCCCTCCAAGCATCCCTCCTGCACTGTTCCCATAAACAGCCTCCTCCCAGCAATGTCCTCCTATAGTTGTCTTCCTCCCCATGCTCTCCACACATACTTCCTGATACTCAGGAGGACCATGGATGTCCTCCTCCAAGCATCCCTTCTGCTCTGTTCCCATGGACATCCTCCTCCCTAATGACATTCTCCTATGGATATCCTCCTCCCACTGACGTCTCCCTCCTGCTCTGCTCCTCCAAGGATGTCCCCCGGCTCTCATTTCCCTGTCCCCAAGATAAGGGCACTCTCTTAGCACCCAGCCCCCCCTGGCCCCATCAGCTGGCTCTCACCTCCTTGCTGTCCAGCTGCAGGATGCTGCGCAGTGCATCGCGGGTCTGCGTCAGCTGCTTCACCTCCTCCTCTTGTGCTTGGTGGAGCTGGAATGGGAGGTGGCTGCTGTCACTGGGGGGGTGGTGGCAGCTCAGGGACACATCCCCTATGGATGGGAGGTGGGGGGGGACTCACCGAGTGGAGGGACACAGCCAGCTTCTCGATGAAGGGGTAGAGGTTCTGGGCAGCCTTCCAGCCGTCTTGGAAGAAACTGGGCATTTATTTCAATGCAATTAAGATGCAAATGGGCAGAACGGAGAAAAAGAGGTTATTTAGTGAGGATGAGGCAGGGATGGCTGCAGCCATCCCTGGGGAAGCTGCTCTTGTTTGCTGCTCCTCTACAAATGGGAGATGGAGAGATGCTGCTGAAGCCCAAATCCAGTCCGTGGAGGTGAGGTACCCCAAATGGCTGTGGTGTTTGGGACAGCATTGGCCTCAAGCTGATCTCTCTCTGCTACAGTTCAGATCCTGGGCCTGGCAGCCCAGCTGAGGGCACTGCCACTGCTCCTTTCTGCCTGGAGAAGTCGACAAGGCCCCAACACCCCCAGGGTACAGCAGGAGGAAAAAAAAAGGGGACATTCCTGTGCCCCAAATGCTGCGAGCTCTGAGCTAACAGCGGAGCTGAACTCATCCCTGGAAACCCATCCAAAAACCAAATCATCACATACATCCCCAGCCAAGCCCCTTCCCCCAGCCCTCACAGGCACATCTGCAGCTCCCCGAGCCAACAATCCCAACCAGACAGCAACGAACCCTGCCCAGAATCCTCCCCACAGCTCGGTGGGGTGGCTCAGTCCCCACAATGGGGACAGGACCGTCCCCAGAGCCCCAGGGAAGCTCCCAGGGATGAGCACCTACTTGTGCTGAGCATGGAAAAACTTGATGAGGCTCTGCAGGAAATCCGGCCCTTGCTTCATCTGGCTCTCGCTGGCTTTCAGCAGGTACTGGGGGGGCAGAAAGCAGCGGGTTGTAGGCAATGGGATGAGGACCAGCCCTCACCCTGCGGGCAGGAGGGTTAGATTGCTGGCTGGGCTTCAAGGAGCGGAGCTACGAGGTGGGTTTGCAGGCAGGGACCACCCCCAAAAAGCTGGCTTTGGAAAGCCTCCAAGCCCTGGGAAGTTGAAGGAGCGAGGCAGGCCCCAATGCTTGCAGCTGAGCACGCTGCTCTCACTGCTGATTGCTTCTGGAGTTAATAAATAACCCAAACACAACTTGGTTCGAGGAGGAAAAAAAAAGAAAAAGAAAGAAAAAAAAAAAAGTGATGTTTTGTGCATCAAACCCTGCCATCACCTGCAGGCAGAAAGAGCCTGAGTCCATGGGGCACACGAGCCCCAAAAGCAGAGCTTTCCTGCTGTGAGCTGGGCTGCAGCCCCACACAGCTGTGGGCTGGGCTCCCCCCCCTCCCTGTGCTGTGATTTCAGAGGTGAGCAGAGGAGAAGGCAGCCAGCATCAGCTGTGGGGGTTTCCATGGGGGAACAGCAGTGGGACGGAGCCCATGGGTCACCCCATGTCCCACCTGCAAGGAACAGGAGGGATGGTGACAATTCCCCATAGCTGGAGAAGCACATGGGTGACAGTGACCTCGTGGGGACCTCCCCATGTCCCAGGTTGATGGGGACAGCAGGCCGAGACCCACACGAGGATGCTCCCAACTGCAGTGTGGGCAGATGCACCCCACCCCCAGCAAAACCCACATACAAGCACAGCAGCCACACGCCAGCCCCCAACAGAGCTGCACCCCACTTCCAGGCGACCAATGCAAGCAGCCCCTCCCCAGCCGGGCCGCGTTTCCATGTGCTGTTATTTATTTCACAGTGGTGCTATTCAAAGCAGTGACTCATCAGGCCCAGCCCCAGCAGCAGCCCCGACCCTGGAGCGGGTGCAGCCTCCTCCCCTGCACCCTGCCCTGTGTTCCCTGATGGGAGGGGACAGTGCTGGGGAGGGCGGGTGGCACTGGGTCTCTGTGCTACGTCGCTGCCATCGGTACCTGGGGACACTCGTGAGCCTCCCTGCTTGGGCAAACAGTGCAAACAGCAAAGTTAAAGTGCTTCTTTTGGGGGGGGTTTAACAGTAAGGATTGCTTTTTGCCCCAGACGCCAGGCTGTGGCTTTGCATGGGAGCAGGACCCAGGGGAGGTGGGGGCAGTCACCAGGAGTCTGCGACTGCATGACTCGATGGTGACATTTGGACCCACATCCCCAAGGAAGGGACAGGAAGGTCCCCAAGCCAGGACCCTGCAAGGAAACATTATGGATGGGGACAGATGAGCATCCTGCACCGTGTCTACATGGGACTGCTTCCATGGTGGGGATGGGAAACGACTCCAGCTTCCCTTCACCACTCTGAGCACAGCGCTCCCCGACCCCCCCCGCGCAGCCCCCACCTCACACATGTGGAGCTGGAAGAGCCTCCGCTCCTTCTGTGTGTCCTCTGCCACCTCTGCTGCTGACGGTTCAGCCTGGATGACCCCCGCCAAGCGGGCACGTTCCTTCTCCTTCTCCATCTTCCCCCTGCAGGGTGACACAAAGCTGGGCTGGGGGCAGACCTGCACCAGAGGGGACCCTGGGGATGGCCCTGCACCAGGGGGATCCCTCTGGAGCTGCAGAAGAGTTGGGATGGGGCAGGGATGGACCAAAAGCATCCCCAGCCTCTCCAGCTGGGCAAGGCTGGAGCAGAACCCGTAAGGGACAAAACGCCTTTGTGCAGAGGGGGATTAGGTGGATTTTGCTGGAGGAAGTGGGTCGCTTACACTTTGGTCTCGTAATCCTTCCAGGCCTTTTCAATCTGCTTCTTGGAGTCCTGTGGCAAAAGGAGAGAGGGGACGGCAGCTCTTAGAGGTGACGAAGGGACAGGCAGTGACCTGGTGGCACCCAAGCAGTGCCCAGGCGTGGACACTTTGCTTTGCATCACTGCGTCTCCCAAAAGATCCTCAAAGGCTGTGCCTCCCCACACCAAGGAGCATGCAATGGGGACCCACCATGCGGCTGTCCTTCAGCTGCCCCTTCAGCAAGCTGTCCAGGGGGAAGGAGACGATGTTGTTCAGGTTCTGCACCTGGAAAGGGGAGAGATGGGCACAGGGTTACCCCAAAGTGTCCCCAGAGCGCAGGGTGCTTTCTAGCTGGGACCCTCCCAGCTCAGCGGCTGCCCCAGGAAGGGTTAAGCAGGCTGGGAGCTGCTGGCGGAGCAGGCTGGGGCTTGCTGGAGCTGGCTGCAAGATGTCTGACGTGCAGCCCTTCCCACAAACCACATCAGCGCTGCGGCTGCCAGAACCAGAGCTGCTCCCCCCCATCACCGCCCCGTCCCCCCGCATCCCGCAGTGCCACCGGTCCCAGAGCCCTCCTGACGTCACACGGCTTCCCAAGGTGTCCCCTCCTTGGGCAGGGGGGCAGGGCTGTCTCAGTGCCCACCTCTGACTTTGAGCCCATGGGGCTGCATCGATCTGGGGGGGCTGTTAGAGCAGCTCAGGATGACCCAGCAGGGCTCAGCGCAATGCTGACGGCCTTTTGCACAGCGGTGGCATCAGATAGGAAGCTCCAACGCCACAAAACAATCCTGCTCGCCCTTATAAAGGGTTCCCAGTGGGGTTTTGCTCGCAAGAGAAGCCCAGCTCTGGGGGCAGGATCTGTCCCTGAAGGATGGGAAACGGGGTGCATCCTTCCAGGTGTGCAGGGATAGGGACCCCGCAGCCCCAGGAGGGGTTGGGGTTGTGGGCAGCTGTTCCCACGGCTGCAGCACGTGGGGTGTGATGCTGCACTGCCCTCAGCCAGGGAACCGGTTCAGCTCCTTCCCTGAATAGGGTTCCCCATGGAGCCCATGGATTGCGGGGCTCCGGCTGGGATGGATGAGATGGGATGGAGAAGGAGAGGAGCAGAGAGGCCCATGCTGGGGTAACTGGGAGAGGAGGATGCCGAAATCTGAAATTCCTGCTGGGGGAAGGGCAGCAACAACAAATCTGTTCCTTAAGCACAGCCAAAGGCTACAGACCCCATTTTAGGAGGGGGGAGTTCAGAAAAGGGGTTGGAGAGGAGAGCGGCAGGAATGCAGCACGGGGTGCCCCAAGCGTGCTGGGCCAGCTGCCTCCAATCCCACCCAGCACAAAAACAGGATCCCAGATCTTGAGCTCACAGCGCTGGGGAAAAGTGAAATAAGAAGTTGGTTTGGAGCAAAGAGTCGCCAGGCAGAGCACAGCCCCCTCCAGCTGCCTCTGCTGCTCCCCATGGCCCCACTGCGCGGCTCGGCGTGGCTTTGATTTATTTCTTGGCAAGCGAGATCAGAGATGTGAAAAAAATAAAAACAGAAAGAAAAGGGGGGAAAAAAAAAAACAAAAAAAAAACCCCAGTTCCAACCGCATGGCAAAGCACAGCGTTGGTGCCTTGAGACAGAGAGGGAAAATGCAGCAAAGGGGGAATGGGGTGTCCTGTAAGTGCGACCCTGAGTGCAGGATGGGATGGGGAGGGCCAAGGTGGGATGCATGGGGTCACCTCAGCACG